AGAAAGTTAATATAGAGAATGACATAAAGAATGTAATTGGAGTGTAATATAAAAGTAAAGAAAAGTAAAATTATTTTCTCAAAATTAGTTTCTAATCAAAATTCATAATTTTGATTGGTTGATATGCCTGGGCCCCAAAGTACCCCTAAAATCTGCAAAGATCGACGATCAGCATATCTAAAATTAGCGACAAATCAAATTTGGGTTGTTTTGGTTACACAACCTTTAATTGCTGTTTACTCAAAAAAAATTAAATTACTATGTGCCGTAGGGTCATTTTCAAGGCAAAAACCCATTTAATCAATTGGGTTCTGAGGAAGTGAAAGAATTAGCTGATGCTCTTTGCATAAACAGCTCTTTAATCTCTTTGGATGTTTTTGATGATCAATGTAATTTTGAGCATGATAAGTTATTAAAAAGTGCTCTTTCCAAAATTCGCAAAAACACAAGGTTTGATCTTTCCAAATATCGCAATACATCAGAGTTAATATTTAAAAATTTGGATAAAATTTTAATTCCTTCACAAAATAAACAATCTCTTTACAAAAATACTTTAGATTCTTCAAATCTTGAAGTTAAAAAAATAAAATTAAGTGCCGCTGCTTTGAAAAATGAAGAGATTATTTTAGCAAATTTGGAGAAAAGAAGGATACTGATTTCCTTAGATAAAGAGGTGTTTGGAGACAGCATTTATGATTTATTTTTGTTATTTTTTATTATTTATTTTTTAATAATTACTGGATCATTTACATTTATATTTTTTACGATTCTGTTTTATCCTTTACTCGTCTAAGAAATTATACTGCAATATTAAATTATTTACAATAATACTTATTTGATTTTAACAAAAAATGATATTTTTTTCTAATAAATATATATCAAATATAATTTAAATTTGAAAAAAAAACTTTAGTTTTAAATTTACAAGTATTACATAAACTGATCGAGATTATTTAAAAATACCCAAAAATTTAAATCCAGCTATGTACAAATAGAAATTGGCATAAATTGAAAAGTTTGATTTCAAAACCAATAAATTAGTTCGGTATAAAAAGATATTTTTGAGAAAACATAGTAGTTTTATACAGCAAACTTTTTTTAATTATTACGTGAAAGTCTATGCTGCATTTAGATTAAGTATTGAGCTTTTGGCCCCGGTTGTCATAGTTTAAGATATTAAATTTTAATTTCGGTGACAAATAATTCTATTTTCAGTGACAATTAAAATTAGAAAGAATTTTAAATTTATTTGTTACTGAAAATAAGATATAGAATTATACTTGTATTGTTTTAAAAGAATTGTTAAAATTTGATAAAACAGGTGATTACGAAGAACTGTATTGATCATTATTATTTCGGTGACAATTAAAACTGCATTCAAAAATTAATTGTAAATAAATCTTCGGCTGCTTAAACTGGCTATTTGGCTGACTCAGGTAATTTTGGCCAGGTTTGGTTAATTCCAGAATTTAGATAATTTCGACACGGATGTAAAATTTCGGCCCAGAAATAATTTCAGTCGAATAATTTCGGCTGATAACTTCAGCTGAATTTTATGGATAATCATCGATTCCTTCAAATTTGACTACTAGTAAAAATTGACACATGATTTGGCCTGTTTGTAGATTAAAATTGTGGCTGAAATTGTCTCTAAATTCGGGTCGAAATTATACTTAAATTTCTGACTGAATTTATCCTAAATCCTGATGCACTAAAAATTATTCATAAAAATTTGGCCAAAAATTAACACTAAAATTCGAAATTTGAAATTATTTTTTTAAAAATTTTTTTATTTAAATTCTTTTGAGTTTGTAAAATAAAAAATTGTTGGTAACAGTTTTACAAAATAATATCATGACAGAATTAAAATACTATTTATTAAGTACTTTATGTATTGCAATAATATCTAAGGTGTGATATTTGTTTTATTCGTGTCCATTCAAAAATTTTTCTAAACTATTTGGACAAAGACGTTATCGAAAATAATAATGTATTCCCATAATTAACCATTCAGATAAAAGACCGAATACGTGCGTAAAAAGTCACAAGGCATTTATTATAAGAGTTTATTAAAATTCATACTAATACGAATTACGCGCGTTATATGATCTTATACTTAACCATTATGAAAATGGATATTCAATAGATTTCGGGTCTCATCACTAGTTCCAAGTTAATTATAGTTAAGGTTTAAGGTGGCATTTTTTCAAAAAGCATCTGCTATTGTTTTTCCAAATTCAAGTTGATTAATATCTAAGGTCTAAGGAGGTTAAAGTTGCATTTTTGCAAAGATTATCTGCTATTGTTTTTCCAAACTCAGGCCCGAGTTGATTATCGCAAAGGTTTAAGGAAGTTAAAGTTGTATTTTTGCAAAGAGCATCTGCTATTGCTTTTCCTCCTTCAGGACCAAGTTGATTAGTGCTAAGGTTTAAGGAGGTTAAAGTGGTATTTTTGCAAAGAGCATCTGCTATTGCTTTTCCTACTTCAGAACCAAGTTGATTACCGCAAAGGCTTAAGGAAGTTAACGTAGTATTTTTGCAAAGAGCATCTGCAAATTCTTTCCCACCTTCGGAACCAAGTTGATTACGACAAAGACACAAAGAAGTTAAAGTATTGTTGTTACATATAGTGATTTAAAGATTAAATAAATAAATATTATATTATTTATATTATAGTTACTGTATAATATTATTAAATTATTAATTATTCATTATAATATTATTTTCGAACTTATTCATTATCTATTCAGTTTTATTTTATTTTAGATATTGTAAATTTTACATAGCACCTGAGGAATTACGATTATTCCTAACAATAGTTTGAGTACGCATAGATATTTGTAACTTATCATTATTGTTACCTTCATTAACCAATTTATTTAAAATGTCCTCAGTAGTTCGAAGTTGTGATTTTAATTTTTTTAACAACATCTATTAAATAAAAATAAGACATACAATATAAATTATAAACTATGATTGATCTTGATTGATTTAATATTCATACCTTAATGCCCACTAAAGATTCAAGATAATCAACAGTATGATGTTTGAATTGCATTTTAGACGGTACATATACATTTTGTCGAAACAAACGTCGTCGACCTATTAAGCTTCCAGGAATATCGTAAACAGTGATCTCTAGTTGATCATCTTTATAAAATTTAAGGTCTTAAGTTAAATTAAAAATCTAAATTTCATAAATTAATTGAATAAAATACCTGAAATCCTTGCTCCAATAACAAATAATCTGTGCATTAATTTAAGCAACTCTTTTGTTATAAATTTTTTAAATTTATCTTCATAAAAGCAAAACATTTCATTAATTTGATCATATTGTTCTTGCAGTTGTTTTTTTTTGTCATTACTAGGATCTGTGCCTGGTTTTTTGGATTCTACTATTAGAAATTGGATAAGATGTTCATTCATTAAACGTATTCCAATTGCCGCATCGATCTTATGACCTCTTTTAGATTTATCAATGCCAAGTAACGCGTTCTCAAAATTTCCAACGCTAAGATCCATTTCCGACAATAAAGAAACTTCATGTAAACCTTGCCGACGGTGGCGGGAGCAAGTTGTTTCAAGTTCCCCGCTAAGTAATAACTCAATTAGCAAAATGTAATTATAAGATGTTTCAACCATATAATTTACCATATTGTGATTAAATCAGCATCTTCCATGCAAAAATCTTTCATGATATAAGTAAACATATCATCAGTATATGTTGATTCATTGATATTAAGGCATTTATCCTCATATTTTTTTTGATGCCAAATGTGCTTGCTGCATTGTATAATGGCGGTCATATAAGTTATAAAACTATATAAAATTGCATGATAAAAAATTACTTACAAAAATTTTATTGCTTTAATGCATACTTCTAAATCGTGATTAGAAATCGAACTATTAGTTGGTTTTTCTTCTTCGCTGTTATTTATTGTAGATTCAAGATAAACTCGTATTTCGTTATCAAAATTGTATTCTTCAAATTTGCTCAGGATATTAATTAACCTGCGAGAAAATATTTTTTTTAGCAATGTATGGGGACTCGCAAAGTCCATTATTCCCGACAATAGTGGATTTGTAGGATCTTCATAAACAAGAGTTGTAAAATCGTCATAATCGATAATCGTGGCAAATATTTGCTGAATATTTTCGTTCTCAGTCATAAACGGAATTAACAGGTCGGCCGACTCCAATATACATACACAATTTTAAATTAGTAGCCACCTTTACTAGTGATAATTACAATTAATATAGAATACATTAAATTTAATATCAGTACCTTTATTTTTTGAAATTTATTTTTTAAACGCTTCGAATATTTCTCTTTTCCAGTTGCTAAAAGGTTTTTTTTTTCATCAGGCCCGAGTGAATTTGCAAAATTTACTAGCGCATCTATTTCATTTTTTGTGGTGCATAAAGAAAATGCACGCCGCAAATTCGTAAATGGGCATCGAAGCACATCAACTACAATAATCGAAAGTCAGATTAATGTGATTAGTTTATTAACTAAACATCTGCCAGTACATACATTTACTATCATCGCTATCATCTATTGATTGCTTCCATTCATCTATGGAATATCTAACCCAAAATAAGTTTACTCCAGCAGAGTTCTTTTCGTTCTAAATGAAAATAATTGTGATATTAACATATGTCAAGATAATCGATTTTTCAAATTAACATTTAACGCCAATTACACCTATTGCAAACTAATATCATAGATGTTTAATTACACCTACTTTAGATATTATAATATCGATGTATGCTTACATCATAGGTGTCAAATTACGCCTACCATGGATATTATAATGTCGATATTAACTTGCAGAATCGTAGTGTTATTGCATCAATGTTTATTTGTTTTTACATGGACTGTCATCAGAAAATTTTCATCATTTGACAGAAAAATAAAAATAAACCATTACTAGACCTCCAAATTTTTATATGCATTGCTCACTATTTTGAGTTTCGAATTATTTTGTCTAAAATTTTTTCTTTTATAATAGAGTGTATTTATTTCATTACTATATATTTTAAATAAAGGTGTACGAAATGATGAATTTAAAAGCTGTTGTTTCTCAAAATATTTAAGAAAATTTAAAAGTGACAGTAATTCAGAATTTTCTTTATAATAATTTGTGAAACTGTTTTTAATTTTTTTTTCCATAATGCGAAGGATAAGTTTTGATGTTTGTTTTGATTTTCAAATAGTACCCTAGCCATGGCGAAAAAAATTCTCGGATCACGTGCCGTAGATCAATTTTTATGGATTTCTATTGGACGCCATATCGATAACCCTAGATAGTCTAGTTCTTAT